GTACATGAAAGGCAATAAGCGATTACTTTCTGTCAGGAGAGATTAAACAGGAGCAAACAATTAGGTAAGGTCGACTAGAAAGTCCCGATATTAGTGGTAGATAGGTTTACGTCAGTGGAGATAGTAGAGAATGGCAAGTAACACTACATTAATAGTGAATGTTAGAAAGTCTATTAAAGGATAGAAAGCGAGAAGTTAAGACAAGGGATGATTGAACAAATCTTACCGACAAATGGATCCGGTTGGATCATGGAAATCTAAGATAGGGCGGCACATCAGCAACGCAGACTTGAGGTAGATTTGAGATTCAGTTTCTGTGTCTACGACTGTCAAAAAAACAAGTCTTTTTATGTGGTTAGTTGGAATAAAAGGATAATCGCGAAATATTGGCTCCAAGTAATTTAATGTGTGCCTTGTAGCCTAGAAAGAGCACAGATTTAAGATGATTGGATAATCATGTCTAGGCCAGTATTTAATTTCAAAAACCTTGGTTGAAGGAAAATACTATAAGCATCTGCGAAGATTGAAACAAGAAGGGCTGTTTTACTGAGAGGGAAATGTAAAATTGTTCACCTATTGGTGGAAAGCTCAGATAAGGAGGGTCATTGAGGGGTGCTAGTTATCGTGAAATGCGTATTCCTTTTGTGCACAATGTTAGTGCCGCCGGTAGTGGGTGAAGTAATCGCAGGCAATTTGATAAAGTGAAGAGCAGTTGCAACCCATAAATAAAAATCTAGGATTGGGAATACAGATATACGAAGATGGTATGGCGCCACCGCCTATTGTGGCGGTAAGTGCCGAAGATCATATTTGGTGTTTTTGGGCGATGCTATATTCTATGAGTAGAAATGCGGACGCAGGAGTTGTATGAGATATAGGGAATTAGTGTGAAACCTTCAAAAAACAATCTTAATATAACTTACATCATTGAGTGAACATGTATAAGAGGAAGACGATGAATGACTTCTAAGAACAGAACATGAGATGGACTAAAAGTAACCCATATTAGGGAGATATTATTATTAGTGAAGGCTATGGAGGAAATGGCAATATAATTACAGCACTACAAAAGTGAGATATGAAACTAAGTTAAAAAGATGACGGAAAAAAATCTTGACCGGTACAGATGTTGGTTGAACCGAATAATTCGTAGGGTTTAGGCACACAGAGCAACAGCTTAGGTATGATTGGTAGTATTCAGGTTGGTGTCTGACAATTGTCAAGGAGATCGCAGGTCGTATGGGTGGTTAGTTTAGTGGTGGGGTGAGATATTCATGGAAGGATCAGAGAAGGAAATGGTGGGCGCTCAAATAGAGTGGTTGTGAAAATGGGTTGCCTTCGAGCTACTGAAAAGAGATACAGATTATAGGAAGGTTGTGTAAGTATATCGGAGTGTTTAAGTAGATGAAGCTTGGGGGTTAATTAAGGAGGCATGAGAAATGTGGATGCATACCTTGATTAGAGGACATGGTCCGTGTGCAATGTGGATAGCAAAGAAGGCTTGGGTTAATACAGAGTGAAAGTATGACACTGTGATAGTGGAAATAAGCTCAGATAAAGATTGGTGCGATGAATGAGTGTGTGGTGTCGTGTTATTCCGTGGTTAGTTTCATACTATGGCTATCTGTAAGGCAGGGTGGCGCACTAATGGTTTAGTGTCGGTGCCCCGTATGCAGTAAGCACAGTTGGGAGGTATATAAGTAGGGAATGCAAGACTCCATAGTAATGTTATAGGTGAACATAGATGGTGGAAGTTATACAATAATAGGAGATGGAGGTTGGTTATGCTGTACCGCAGCGCGCCGATGTTGTGTGATTGATCAAGATCGGATATGAGGTTGCACTATATCTATAGAGAAAAGACTGCAGCAATTTTATGAATATATATATTTAGTGAAGCCTCAAAACCATAAAGTCGTTATAGAACTAATCATTGGATAACAGTATATAGGTAAGAGAAATGAACTCTGAAAGTAACATGACATGGGTACGGAACTATAAGTACCGGTCAGTATTTAGGAGAATATTTAACTCAGGAGAGTATAGCAGAAATAGCATAACACGTAGCAAAAATTGAGAAATAAGAGCAACGTGTAGTGTTAATTAAGGATATAGATGAAAAAGAGAGTTGTAAAGAGAGGTGATAATCAAGTCTTAGCGTGTGATAATAGTCGGGTTGAATGCGATTAGTTGGAATCGATGAGAGATAGTAGTTTAAGGCACAACGTATTTTGTGGGTACAAGCCAGCAACAGCTGTATGGTAGAATTGAGATTGCAGGTGTATGTCTACATATTGTCAAACAAGTCGTTTTGTAGTTGTAGGTGAAAATCGATGAAATAGATGAAAATTATGCTTCATATTAATTTAATCGTTACGCGTGTTGAGAGCTTAGAAAAGGACAGATTAAGTGGTTTTGAAATCAATGTCTACCAGGATATTTAGAATGTCTGAAACTTGGGTGTTATAATAGGAAAATAATCCTAATTAGGAGGCATCTGATGAAGTTTGAGACAAGAAGGGTAAGGCTGTTTACAAGTAAATTCACTATGTGGAAAAGCTCAGAAAAGTCAAATAGGTGCTTATCGTAATTGTATCCGGGCACAATGTTAGTCTCTGCGGTATGTGCAAATCACATTGATAAAAGAATGCAACCCATAATTAAAATTAGATTGGGAATACAATATAGAAGGATGGTTATCCCACCCCTATTGTATCAAGATCATATTATGTTTGCATCTATATCTATAGAGAAAATGCAGCAATTTATGAATATAAATTAGGAACCTCAAAAACAAAATCTTGTAAACTTAATCATTGATAACAGTATAAGAAGAAAATGACTTCTAAGAACAAACATGGTAAGGACTAAAGTACCCATATTAGGAGATATTTACTTAGGAGATATAGAGAAATGCATAAACACTACAAAAGTGAATAGAAACTAATTAAAAGATAGAAAAAAATCTTACCACAATATTGGTTGACCATAATTCTAGATTAGGCACACAGCAACAGCTAGGTAGATTGAGATTCAGTCTGTGTCTACAATTTCAAACAAGTCTTTTTAGTGTGGTGAAATCATGAAATAATGAAATATGCTAAATAATTTAATGTTCCTTGAGCTAGAAAGGACAGATTATGTTTGAAATAATGTTAAACTGGGGTTAAAGGAAAATACCTATAGAGCATCTGTGAATGTGAAGGCTGTTTACAAGTGAATTCATTATGTGAAAAAGCTCAGAAAAGTCAAATAGGTGCTTATCGTAATCGTATCCAGGCACAATGTTAGTCGCCCCGGTATGTGCAAATCACATTGATAAAAGAATGCAACCCATAATTGAAATTAGATTGGGAATACAATATAGAAGGATGGTTATCCCACCCCTATTGTATCAAGATCATATTATGTTTGCATCTATATCTATAGAGAAAATGCAGCAATTTATGAATATAAATTAGGAACCTCAAAAACAAAATCTTATAAACTTAATCATTGATAACAGTATAAGAAGAAAATGACTTCTAAGAACAAACATGGTAAGGACTAAAGTACCCATATTAGGAGATATTTACTTAGGAGATATAGAGAAATGCATAAACACTACAAAAGTGAATAGAAACAAATTAAAAAATAGAAACAAATTAAAAGATAGAAACAAATCTTACCACAATATTGGTTGACCATAATTCTAGATTAGGCACACAGCAACAGCTAGGTAGATTGAGATTCAGTCTGTGTCTACAATTTCAAACAAGTCTTTTTAGTGTGGTGAAATCATGAAATAATGAAATATGCTCAATAATTTAATGTTCCTTGAGCTAGAAAAGACAGATTATGTTTGAAATCATGTCTACCATATTTAATTTAAACTGGGGTTAAAGGAAAATACCTGTTTAATCAAATGTCATAATCAAATGTCATTTCGAGTCATCTTGAGCTCACTACACAAGTGGAAATTAGGACGACAGCTAACATTCTCAAGAGGTCCTTGAAAAAATATGAATCTCTGGCAATCATCTAACATCTCACAAGTTTCACTCACTCTGAAGTACAATTTTCTCGCTTCTGTAAGAAAATGTCTCCACTGCTGCTTCCCAACAACAAAGATGGCCTTTGACATGAAAGGGAGGTCCCTAGCTTTTCAGGAAGGGAGGTTGCTAAAGTTCTCTACCTCTAGCTGCATCTAATGAAGTGCTCAAGGCCCTGTTGATTGCCCCTCTTGTCTAATAATTGTTCGGCTTGAAATTTAATATCAAAATGCAAACCGAGGTTTTTGCTTTTCCAATAGAGAGTATGCTGAAAAGTTTTTTTTATTCGATATAAAAAGTTACAAACGAGACTACCGAAAACTTTACTGAATGGAAACTGCTATACTACATAACAAGAGCCTCCTAGCACAAACAACAATGTTAAAAAACGAATGGAGATTTAAAGATTTTTGTTCCTGCATTATTCGAATCCTTTCGGAGGCCTGGATGTTCAAGGCCATATTGGATGACTTTTAACAAACCACGAGGCAACAATATTGCATGTACACTGTTGAGAAGATCACTTCTATTTACATCATAAGTATGGCAGCGCAGAAAATAGTGCTTCGATTTGTTTGGCATAAAGGGTTCAAAGTATCCCTAAAATTATGTTTGAATTGATGAACATTTAGCTTACTGAGTTCGACCCGTAGCTGTGTTAGGATGGACAAGCCTTTTGGATCATAAAAACGATTGACAGTGAAACTTCCTTGAAAATATTAATAGAGCTGGATAGTCTATTTTCAGAGTCGGGCCTTTCCCATTCCGATAAGCAGTTTTGGTAGAAGCTTAATTTGAAACATAAGGTTCTTTTTTCATTAGATTAGGTAATACAACATCATGACTAAAATCGCAAATAACATGTAGGATATGGTTTTTCTGAGGCTGCTGCTGGTGGGAGAAAAGGAGGATCAACCCTTAGACATAAAGAATGTCCCAAAATCTTTTACAAAATAGCGTTATAGAAGTGACACAAATAATTTCAAGATGCTTATCTCCTAACTTACTAGTACTGAGAAGTCGGGCTTTCTCAAAAAGCGTCACTTACTCAAGGTGTTTTGCTCCTTGGGATGCTGAAAAGCCGCCCGACTATTAAAATTTTTCAACGCCTTGCCAGTTTCCTACCAATCGCTTCGCCTTAGTCTAGAGGGAATAATCTATTCTTTTCTTGAAGTTTGATGTTGAATGGTACGGATGTCCTATTCAAGTGAAATGTTCCATCCAACACAGGTGTTTGATTCCGGAAAGATTGATGGTGGATAGAGACATGTCTTATAGGAAAGTATGAAAAGAAAAGACTTACTTTGATTAACCGGCTCTCTTCTCTATATAACCATTCTCGGTACCTGAAAAAAATCAGTTGGCATCAGTCTTTACATGATACATTAAAGATGAAGCGATCTTCTGTAAGACGTAAGTAAGGTTTTTGCTCTAATCGGCTCGAATTATACATATATTCATCATTTTAGTCTCAGGTAACAAGGCTATATCTAATGGTCTATATTCTTGTTCTAGGTTCCAGTGGGGGTATGGTTGATGGAGAAAAATTGAAGACAGAGCAACCCGAGACTACTGTGAAAGAGCAACTTGTTGATGTTGAAGGTAAAATAATATCGTCTTCTGTCATTACTAGGACACATAGTTCCTATGTTCTGTCAAAACTAATATTGAATGAATGAGAAACCGTAGCAAACCAGATAGATCTTTGGTATGATAAAATTAATTATCTGTATGCTTTTTCCGTCAATCTTTTGCTGTAAAAATTTAGGACATACAATTTTCCTGTCACACGTTATCCAGGCGCTGCTATTTATTAGATCAGATTATCTTCCTTTTTGAAGCATTCGTAATTATTACAGTATATTACTAGGCGTAGCTTAATAACTTCAAAGGGTGATTCTTTAATTCTTTGGTAATGTCTCTTAAAATGTTTCAACTAAATTGTTAAGGCCTTTAGCATCAATGTCTGTAATCGTTTATTACCAATTGACAGAGTCTACGACTTATGAAAACTGTGAATCTCCTTGAAAAGCTCACAAAGTATTGCATTGGAGTTAGACATTCTGTGACTCTGTACTTCAAGATGTCTGAGGTTATCTTTGTTTTGTAAATTCTAAACGTTAATTAATATTACCTCTAAACCGAAGGCCAAGAGAAAAGATGGTTGGCATTTCAATCAAATGGAACATTGTGGATAAGCATGGAACAAGTGAAGGCTGAGTTCACAAAAAATATACAAAGCTCGACTCTCCGCAGCAGAATGCACAGATTGAAGATAAATTGCAAGAAACCTGAGGGGGTCCTGCGCTTGAAGCTCGAAGAGAAATTTGGACCACGTAAAGGTGGGCATTACGTCATCCCATTAGACAGTCTTCATTTGCTGCTACAGAAGCAGAGTGTGCTTCAACTACCACAAGCAGCAGTCGCCAATGTGGAGGCGGGTACAAGTTACGAAGCAGCTTCAAGCATGCAGGATGGAGTGTCTTCATTTGAAGTATTTTTCGAAAAGCTCCGGGAATTCTACACGGATGAAATAAACCCGTTAAGACCATCAAACGATATGACAGCAGGGACAATCGAACGCCACACAAGAAGGTTAAAGAAGTTCTTTGAACATGTAGAAGAGACATATAACAGACCCCCACAAATGGAGGATGTTACAAACATCAACTTTGTTAGGGCATATGTGGCGGAATTGAGGAGGGAGCTAAACGTGGGTACAGTTGCCAACCATATTCAAAGTCTGATAGTGGCAGCAAAATATATTCTGAAAAAAGAGGGCCTAACAAAAAGTTGGCATGAAATTGCAGAAATAACACAATTGAGGCACATGCAGGCCCAACTGCAAGTGAGTATTCCAGTTCACCTTAGCTATATATATTTTCGCTTTTCATTAGAAATTCTACAATAGGAACTTGAGTTGCATTTCATTCTATATCATAACATTAAATTCTGGCTGCCTAAACTCTACTGTCAAGAATGGTTGATGAAGCCAGCCGAAGTAGAGTCATTTAGTATATTCAATTTTTTTTGAAATTCTTTTTGACTACATTGGATTTTCACCGTCCTGTGGCTTAGTTACCGGCTATTATTCCTATTTTAATCAGCGGACAGCATATCCTGCGTTCCTTTCTATTTACACATACATTTTACACATCGCTTTTTGATATTTTTTAGTTTAAATTTACCACTGTTTTTTAGAGCCTCTATGAAAGAGAGCGGAGACAAAGGTACCCGGAAGCCGATGAAAGAAAGAACTTTGAATGGAAACAGGTTTTAGAAACATTAAAATTGATGAGGGACAGGATAATTTCGTCGAAAGAGATGGATGGGTATCAAAAGGCAAGGTTATACCATGATTTTGTAATACTTTTATTGTTCACCACAGTGAGCCCATCAAGGAATGCAGATTTGATGAAACTAAAAATACTATTTGACGAGGAACAGGGGAGTGTTTCAGAAAACTACATTTTATTTAAGGAAAATGGCAGCACTACAATGGTTGTAAATGATTTTAAAACGAAGAAAAAATACGGGTGCAATAGAGTGGACATCTCCAGTTACGATTATGTCAACCAACATCTACGTAAATATGTTGAGGAGGAGAGGGAGAAGCTAATGTTGAGTAAGAGACATGATTTTCTTCTAATGAAGGGCAAGGGGCAACCATTTGACACATCTGAGTCGTTTACTGTTTACATCGAAAAGGCGTTTCAGCGACACAATGGGGGCTTGAAGTTCACAACTACGACCCTCCGAAAAGCGCTCGTAAACTGGCTAATGTGCAACGAGAAGGAGGACGAAGTGAGAAATTCAGTTGCAAGACTCATGAGCCACTCACCACGAGTTCAGCGCCTTCGCTACAACACAGATGATTCAGCAAGAAAAATAAAAAGGGCCGCTGACCACCTCACTTCTAAAACATTGACTTTTTTGGGAGAGGACGAAAATGACACAGAAACAGAAGCAGAAGATACCCCTTTATAAATTTCACAAGGTTTAACGAACGTTAATAATTACATTATTTTAGAAAGCTAAGACATTGCTAATTTCGTGTTTTTAGCTAGTCGTATTTTAGAAATTATTTAACATTACTTGTAACAATATTTTATCTTTCTGATCCAAGGTTGTCAACATAATCACTTGCCTTTGCCTTTTTTCAATCTTTATATGCATGTTTGTATTATTGCCTGTGTCATTTTTCATTAAGTAAGGTTAATTGATTGATTTGCGGAAAGCTCTATTTACTTTTCTGACCAGCAGTTTATCAACATATCCAACACATTTGCATGCTTTCTAGGCATATCAATTTACGGTGTATTATTCTCTGTCACCAATTCTATATACCAAAGCAGAAAACGTAATTAGTAGATTGAAATGGGCATGCCGTAGCATATCCTTGGCAGCATTTCATGCTTTTTGTATGCAGAAACAAGTTTAATTGCGCACTTAGCATGAACAAAGATTATGGGAGCTGAATTGATATCAAAATGATCGTTATCTTTTAGTTTAGTTTGTATTCCAAGGTAAACTTAAATGACTCATTTCTAAAGAAATAAATTAGAAATTGCAAATTTTATCAATAGCTAGATCGTCAACGAAAAGGTTTTTTGAGTTACATAAACAATTTTGCATGGTTATGTAGTGTACCTAACCACCTCAGCATTATTATGATTATGGTCACAAAGCCTCTGCTTAATTTTGCAAAAAAAAGCCATTTCCAAATCGTTTGCTTTGATTTTGTGAGCTATTTTGTTTAACACTCCCTCTTTTCATAACAGTAGAAGATCACATTAATAAATGCGCCTGAGCCAAGTTTCGAAATGCAAATAGTTATGAGAAACGCGTTGACAGATTGTTCCGCAAATCACGTGTCATTTCAGCGTTTGGAGGCTGCGTTTTGAGAAAAATTTTCTAAGTGTCACGGACTGGGTTGTACGAAATTCGTACTGCCGGAAATTGGATAACAATCAAGAGAAAAAACAAAAGGGACATTTGCATAAAACACAGGCGCAACAACGATTGACAAAGGCATTTACACCTCCCGCAGACTAACGACAATAGACAATGGTTCAAACCCTAA